GAGTATATAGCTAAATACAATACTCTTTTTTAAAAAGTCACCACAACCAGAGATGTTCAGAAATACTAAAGGAAAGTGGAAGTTTCCAAAACCCCAATGAGTGCTGTGAGCAGGGGCAGTGAACGCTTTGAGCCGCTCCCCACTTAGTAGTGACCCAAATGCCGTATCTCAAATCGATGTTTAAGAGAAACAACTAGGGAGTTGGATTGTTACTTCAAAGATTAAAAACCCTTCCATCATCCAAGCTCCTGCCCATCCACGTGCAAGGAACTCCGATGTGTATGCCCGGCATGTGATCACTTCACCAGTCACCGTGTCTTCACTGCCAGGGAAAATGCCAACTGCATGGAAACATGGATATAAATGCATTCCTTTTTAGATTTTTTAAAACACAGAAGTGAAGGCAAAATGGAAACTCAGACAGGAACTCTAATGATTCTTCCCCCCCCAGGGAATCGCTAAAAATTTACCACTCTACCAAGTTCTAGCTCCTAATGACTGGAGGGTTTTTTTTTGTTTTTTTGTATGTCTTTTTTTTAAAAAAACACGAATTGGGGTTTTTCTTCTCATAAACATTACATGTTTATGGAGAAGATACAGAAAATACAGATAAGACCAAAAAATATTTAATAAAAAAGCATAAGCCCACCATTCTCAACCTCTTGGTGTAATCCTTTCAGTTGTTTTACCGTGTCTACAGTATAATCATTTTGTTTTTATAAATATGGGCTACTATATACTATTTTGTAACTTGATATCTTTGTTTATCAATTTCCACATTAATATTCTTTAACCACGTATTTTTAATAGTTGCAAGGTATTCCTCTGAATAAATGTACCATAATCTATTTAACCATTGCCCTATTTTAGACATTTTTGGCTATTTTCAATGTTTCAAAATTTAAGAAGATTATAAACAATGCTGTCTTTGACATCCACATATACACAGTTCTGGCAACGTTCATGATGATTCTTAAAGAATATTTCCTGTAACTAAAATATCTGGATTAAAGAGAACATGCATTTTAAAGCCTTTGATGTACATCGCTGGTTGCCCTCCAGTTCACCCCAGCAGTTCACATGAACACCTGCCTCTCCCACGTGCTGCCCAGCAGTAAGCTGTGCCACTTTTTTTGTCTTAAGATTTTTTTTTTTTTGACGTGGGCCATTTTTTTTTTTAAGTCTTTATTGAATTTGTTACAGTATTTCTTCTGTTTTCTGTTTTGGTTTTTTGGCCATGGGGCATGTGGGATCTTAGTTTCCCGACCAGGGATCGAACCTGCACCCCCTGCATTGGAAGGCGAAGTCTTAACCACTGGACCGCCAAGGAAGTTCCTGTGTCACTTTTTAAATTTGCTAAAATGGTCCCCAAATAGCACTTGCTTTCATTTCGTACTGATTTAACTACTCAGGAAGTTGAGTGTTTCCCCTATTTATTGCCCATCTGTATTCCTACTTTTGTAATAAGCAGGGACTTAATAAGCTTTTTCTAGCCTCAACTTCCTGTTTCTCAGAGAATATAAGTGTCTCTCAGAAGAGAAGGCAACATCTCTGGGCAAGAAACAAAACCTATTTGCTTTGTGGGAGTTTAGTTTCCTTAAACAAACACTGCTTCAGACTAAGGGGAACAGGTTCGGATTGAATATGTAATAATTCAATCTCATGGTGATAAATGTTCAGGGCACAAATCAGAGAAGAGTTTAGAAGAAAGGGAGTTGAGAGAGCCGGGTTGAATTTGCACTGTAGTTTGGAGGTACTTCCCTAAGAAACAGTCTGAGTAAGATGCATACACTCGCCACATCCTCTTACCCGAGCATCCTTCCCGACGACTCTGAAAGATCTTCTAGGTGTGGATCAGCCCCAAGTGAGCAGAGCTGAACCAGGGTGTGGGGGGCAGTTTAAGAGTTCAACAACTCCCCTGGGATAAGACAGAAGACCTGGGCTTTGACTCACAGTCAGAGTTCTGCAGTGACTGCGTGACCTTAGCAAGTTACGTAGCCTCCATGAGCCTCAGTTTTCCCGTTTGCAAAATGAGATAATAGCATTTATTATTATCCCATTTCCATGGACAAGATCGTTGTGAGAATGATCGGGAGGCGAAGCTCCTAGCTCTGCAGTTAGCACACAGTAGGCTTTCAATAATAGCTGTGATAGGAATGAATCCAACCATGTCACAAATATTTACTGAGTGCCACTGAAGTGTCAGGCACCGCGCTGGGCACCTGGGTATTACAACAAATGATAAACCACAGGTAAGCTAATTATATAGCTGTAGAAGGTGATAAGAATGAACAGAGAGCAGGTGAAGGCAAGGCGGGCAGGGCAGGGGGTAGACCTCCTGAGAAGGTGACTTTGGAGCAAAGACTTGAAGGGAGGGAGCTTGGTGCCTGGGAGAGGGAACCACCCCAGGAATGCCCGGGGCAGGCATGAGTCTGGCTGTTCTAGGACCAGTGCCGCTGAGCGGAATGAGCAAGGGGGCAGGTGTGGACGGTGTGCAGCTCGTGCAGGGCCCCGTGGAGCACCGTGGGGCGGATCCTAGCCCATGTCCCTGCCGCTGCATTGGTTTCTGGGCCTTGAAGGAGCTTAGAGGCCAGTCTAGCGGACTGTGGACAGTTTGGGCTCCCTGGGAAGGAGGGTTTAGCCTCATCCTCCCGGATCAGCCTTATAAAGGCTCAAGCTAGCTGGAGTCTTTGGAGCCCGTATGTTACCTGGGGTGGAAGCAAACCTTCCCATGGATCTCAGAGAGGCTCCCAGAGGCCACTCCTATGCTTCGCCTGTCTGTACCCACCACGGGGTTCAACCCTAGGACAGAATGTTCTGGAGCCGCCCTTGCTTACTCCCCCCTCGGGGAAGCATTTCCTCAGTGCTTTCACCTTTCTCAACTATTCTCCACTATAAACACCGAGGAAGGTGCTGAGTCATCCTCCAACACCAGCGCTCCGAGACACCACCCCAGACTCTCATGACCTCAGGGCATCCAAGAAGCGGAGGGTAACTCCGTCTGGCTCTGCTAGGACCGCTGTGCTGTGCGACCAGGACAGGAGGCTGCCCTCAGCACGAGTTGGGAAGGGCTCACAAGAGGGGCTGTGTGAACTGAACAGCTACTGCCTTGGACAGCACAGTCCTAGGCTGTTCAAGAATCCTTAACGAACACCATACTCTACTCGGGTTTGAAATTGCCAGGGCTCAACCTGTGTGTTTCTGAAACCTCACCGTGCATATGAATCTCCTAGGGCTCTTGTTAAATTGTAGGTTCGGACTCCAGCAGGCCGGGGGTAAGGCTGGAGATCCGGGTTTCTGACAAGCGCCCGGGTGGCGCCAGCGCTGCTGGGTCGCACATTGTGGGTAGTGAGTGTGCAGAGCAGGGGTCTTCACGGAGGCAGGACCACCCACAGGAGACAGGGGCTGGAGCCCGCAGATGGGCTGGAGCTGCTGGCATTTAGTGGATTGAATCAAGGATGTCAGCTATTCTTCAAGGTCTAGCCTGCTTCTGCCGTGACTTCTGAATACCCGACCGGACACTCGTGGAGATTGGGGAAGTCTGTCTGATGTGCACACCATGTTCCACTAAAACGCAACAACCCCAAGGAACAGAAAGGTTAAAGTACTAGCTCTGGACCACACTCCTTGCCACTAAAGGAGCTGCAAGGTGAACCAAGACGTTGGTCTCTAGAAGCTGAGTTCTTAACCACTGTATTTCGCCACGGAATATGAGCATCGTTTGATTCCCAAGGCAATGCAGTGAGATGAACAACTCTTCAGACTTCCCTGGCGGTCCAGGGGTTAAGGCTCCGTGCTTCTGATGCAGGGGGCGCCGGTTCGATCCCTGGTTGGGGAACTAAGACCCCACATGCTGTGCGGTATTGCCAAAAAAAAAAAGAACAACTTTGATACCATCTCCTTGATGAGGACTCTGAGGTCTAGGGAGTCTTTATGATTGTTTAAGATCACTGAATAAGTCAAAGACCCATGACTGTAACTGAAGCCACACGGCCCCTCACCCAAGGCTCCATCTAACATATCAAGCACATATCACATGTTTAGGCACAGAGTAAACATTCATTCAATGTTTCTGAATAATGAATAAAGTAATAAAAAGGCCTGCCTATGAACAGACACTACATTTAAAACACCACAAAGCAATCTGAAAAAAAAGAGGAAGCAAAGTTGGAGGAGTTTACTCAACTTCAAGACTTCCTACAAAGCAACAGTAATCATGTCAGTGTGGCCTTGGCATAAGGACAAAGAGATCATTGGAGCACGATAGAGAACCTAGGAAAACATCCACATTTATATGGTCATTTGATTTTTAACAAAGACACCAAAGTCAATGGAAAAATGAGTCTTTTTTTTTTTTTTTAAATGGTGCTGGAGGGGACTTGCCCGGTGGTCCAGTGGTTAAGATTCTGCACTTCCACTGCAGGGGGGTGCAGGTTCGATCCCTGGTTGGGGAACTAAGATCCCACATGCCACGAGACGTGGCCAAAATAAATAATAAATGGTGCTGGAATAACTGTGTATTCATATGGGGAAAAATGAACCTCAGTCTGTACCTTACACCTTTCACAAAAAGGAATGAGCTGGAGCACGGACCACACATAAAAGCTAAGCTTTTATAAAGCTTCTAGAAGAAAACATAGGAGAATATATCTCCATGACTTATGGGTAGATAAGACAGAGAAGTAACCATGAAAGAAAAATCTGACGAATCAGACTTCATCAAAACTAAACACTTCTCATCCAAAGACACCACCACTTATTATTAATTACTCTCTGTATGAATGAAAACGTTCACAATAAGATGTAAAAAAGAAAACCACCATCAGAGTACAGCAAGGCTTTTCCCAGCTCTCAAGCTAAATAAAATATCACCTCTGCGCTCTATGTTACGCTCCAGTTTATCCCACAAGACAACACGGCACTCGTGTCGCCTAACAATCCAAGTTGACGTCATGGCAACAACCACACATCGCGTGTCAAGGATATCAGACAAGACTCACGTGTCTCAAGCCTCCTGAGAATAAAGTGTTGGGCGCTGGACTGAATGAGATACCCTCTTGCTTCAAAACAGGGCTAGTAGGGCATTTGGGACTCTCTTGATTAAGAGGATTCAAAATATCCGGTGCGCTGACCTTCTGAAAAAGAAAACAGAATTAGCATAGTACAGCCTGCATCCCAGTTTGAGTTCGTTCAAATGTGATGACTTCAGCGAGCACGGCCTGCATGTCACTAATATGCAAACTTCCGGGTGCTGAGTAAGAGGCCACACTTCCGTTTGGATAAATGCCTACACACACGGGGCCCCAAGACAGACATCACCAAGCTTTGGGACATTCATGAACAGTGATGGGTGGGTTACTTATGGATTAGTACAAGTCTTAAAGAAACTGATGTCCACATTTGACCTTATTAATGATGCAGGCATTTAATCACATGAAATATAGTATTCAGCCTGACAGCCTCTAATGTGCTCATAAAAAAAAGGAAAAAAATCAAAATACGTCTCTAAATTTTATAAAAATTTTTTTTAATAGTTGGTACTTACATAACACGTACATCTTGTGCTTTCTGATATGGTAGCCACTAGCCACATGGGGCTATTTAAATTCCAATCAGTTAAAATCAAATAAAATAAATTCAACTCCTTGGTTACAATAGACACATTTCAAGTGCTCAGTAACCACATGTGGCAGTGGCAGGAAAGTTCTGTCGGACAGTGCTAGTACAGAGCAGGGAGGTAAACCTCGTCCTGGTCGAAAAGACAAAGTTTCCAAATCAAGACTTTAGGTTTTGACACTGGGTTGGAAGTAGAACTTGGAAATAAAAACAGCTGCACTATGGTCATAATTTTCAGGAATAAAAAGCTAAGACTATTACAGAACAAATGAAAGACATGATTACCTCTAGATTATTTTCATGCTCTCGATTCCCAGAACTCAACTCAATTCTATTAGACATTTGTTAAGCAACACTCTATTCAATGTGCCGCTGCTCTACATCCTGGGAGTGGGAAGAAGCTGGCGGGGGGGCGGGAGGGAGGAGAAGATGCCTCTCTGCCCTCCACAGGCTCACTAGTCATCAGAAATACACACCATTAAAATGGAAGTATGAGCCACGTCAACGGGAAAGAGTGGGAGGCCTTATGCAGAAGAGGCACCTGGGATGGTCTTCAGTGGGAGTGTGACCTGAGTGGGTGTCAAGGGCTGGCTGGGGAAAGACCCAAAGGTAAGGCATCCCGAGTGGAGGGGCTGTCATGATGGTCAGGTATGGAGCATGTTCCTAGACCTGCTAGAGGCCAAAGCAACTGCAGAGACGCAAGAGGCCTGGCAGAGACTCGGACGCGAGATCACACACGCACAGTGATGCGTGATGTCGTCCAGAGGACAGGTAGCTCGGGGACACTAAAGCGTGGGCACAGGGGAGGAGACATAGGGCTGGAGGAGCCGGAGATCCAAAGGGAGGATTTCAGAAATGAAGGTGTTAGAAAAGGTTTTTCGTATAGTTCAAAAGCCCGTGCGCTACACCTACTGAAGTCTGCGCACCTAGAGCCCGTGCTCCGCAACAAGAGAAGCCACCGCAATGAGAAGCCTGTGCACCACCACAAACAGTGTCCCCCGCTCGCTGCAACTAGAGAAAGCCCGTGCCCAGCAACGAAGACCCAACACAGCCAAACATAAATACATTTAAAAAGTATTAAAAAAAAAAAAAAAAGATGTACTCTTCATACTCCAACCCTATAATTATTTAGCATTTACAGATCATGCCATGATTACTGAGTACGTTATAAACATTTGGCTAAATTTCTCTTTGAAACAGCCATATCCTCAAGTGGGGAGAAAGAATGGCTACAAAGTCATGAGCATGTCCTGCCAAGAGTGTAGTGGTGAAGTGGACACACACTGGACAGAGGGTCTACACAGTGGAGGCTCTCTAGCCACGGCCCCCCCAGTTCGTCCTCACTTCTACCCTTGAGCACCACCAGCCCTTCAGAGAACCCTGCACTCGTCTGGCAGGCCCGGGAGGGTGATACCACAGATGCCCCGTTACGTCAGCTCCAGAGCGGCAGGAGCTACGCCTACAGGTACTTGGAATGCCCCAGCGTGTGGCACATGACGCCAGAAGTGGGAACCGTGCCAGTTTGCAAACGTTGCTGGCATCTCCTGGCAGGCATTACAGGAATGGTCCCTGGAGCAGGCTCCACCTGGCCCTGCCACCCTGACCACGTTCCCTCTGGGTCATCTCTCGGCCCCAGAATCCTCATCTTTAATGGGACAGTAACAGCACAGACCTCACAGGGTTCTTTAAGGATTAAAAAAGTTAATTTTTTCTCCTATGTGGGGCGTATAATGAAGAGGTTAAGAGTTTAGAATCGTACAAACCTGGGTTCTGTTCCTAGCTCCACCTTTTACAAGCTATTGCTACGAGACAAGGTGGGTAACCTCTCACTAAAACTCAGGTTCTAGATCTTTACCGTGGGAGTAACAATATCTTTCTCAGGAATTTTGTAAGTATGAAACGTAATAAAGTAGGTGACAAACGCTCCATCGTGCCCAGAACACGGTGCCGCCTAAACGCACACTGACCCTCTCCTCCATCCATTGATTCAGGGACAGCAGGTAGGGCGGTGGAGACGACAGGAACTCACACTTGTCTGCACCTAAGGGTGTCAAAGACCTTCCGTATACACATCACGCACTCTCCAAGCCCTGCTCTTACAGTGAGGTCCGAGGACCGCGGCGGCACTGCCTGCTCACCGGCGAGTGCCTTAGAAACACACCTGAGATCCTGCATCTCACGCCCATCCCAGATCCACCGACTCGGAATCTGTATTTCCACAAGATCCCCAAGTGACTCACATACGCGTTAAAGTGGAGAATCTCTGCTCCAGAGTTCGCCCTCCAAACTAAGACTGCCCACCATTTCTGGTTATGTCACCAGGTCCATGTGACAATCTCCTTAAGCCTCAGTAAGTGTAAACAGGGTCGCGTTCACTACCCACCCTCGAGGGGTGCTGTGAGGGTAAAAAGAGAGCCCAGGTAAAGCTTTTAGCAAGAGCCTGGCACATAGTAACAAGTGCTGGTAATTTAGGTTTATATTTAGATAACTTAGGTAGCAGTTTAGCTGCTATGTTATCTCAGGGCATCTTTACAAGATCACTGTGCTGCTCTGGGCAGAACAGGTATTATCACCTGCATTCCCTGGGGGGAGGGGGTATTCGGAGGCTCAGGGAGTTGAAGTGATGTGATGGGGATGGAGGCTGGATTTAGCATCTTGAGAGCATGTGGAAGTCCCAGCAGGAGAGTAAGGCTGTGCTCACCCGCTTGCCTACATAACAGTCTGTCTGGGGACATCCTGAATAGAGCCCACTGCTGCAGAGAAGGGCACTTGTCCTGTCCAGCTAACCAAAGCTGTCACATCAACCCTGAAAACAGCCAGGTGGTGGCACCTGCCACAGCCAGGTCACCTCAGCCGGACTAGAACCCAGGTTTTCTGACCCTAAAGTCCGCTTCCCCTCACACTCCAGTGCATCTGCCTCTGGCTCGGTCAATCCTGGTGGAAAGAGTAATCCTTTCCCTAAAGGCCTTTATTAGGTGAGATCTCTTACAGTTTAGGTACGTGGAGAGTCTCCCTCACGATCACACCTGAACGTGCAGCGTTTATGGTTTCAATATCAATCAGAGATCGGGACAGATTTTAACCAGAGGTTATTGGAAGCAGGACATAGGACAGAACGAGTGTATCCACAGACCAGGAATAACTGGGCACACTGCAGGCCTGCCTTTGCCTTTCGTGTGGCCTTGCAGCCAGCAGGGAGCTTCGGGGGTCACATGGAAGCCCCGGGGGCTTGGAAAGAGATGGAAGCCTTTCCCTGTTCTGAACCACTTTCCAAATTCAATGAAACTGAATTGTAACCCTCATTTGGCCTGTACCCGCACCCCAGCCAATGGACGGGTTTATAAGTACGTTTTTCAGACTGCTCGCTGGTTAACTACGAAGTAAAAGGATGAAGAAACCTATGGAGAAAACGGGCAGAAGGGTGATCTTGGGGCGGCCGGAGGCCTGGGATACCCTGGTGGTGACGTTGACCGCGGTGTCGGACTGGCTTCTCCTCTCCGACCGGCCCTCACACCGCCTGGGACCCACAGCTGGGCGTTGCTTGTCAGAGGTCATGTCGTTCTGCGACTTGGAGAGTTCTAGAAAATCAATACAAGGATGACAGGTGGGAGCACGCAGCTTTGCCAGGACCTGTGGGAACCCTCCTCTGGGATTCCTGCACCCCGAGCTCTGGGGCCAGGAGGAGAGTCCCCAACACCGCGCTGGACCCGGGGCACCTGCACAGGACTGAGGGGCTGGATCCTGAACGTGGGTGACTGTGTGTCCCCACATCTCTGCAGGCGGAGCCACCATCAGGGTGGGGTTCACGGGCGACCTCCCGACCCAGGTTACTCTGCATTCAGGGCACACGTCCCGAGTGTCCGGCTGTCCAAATGCAAAGAAGGCAGCCGAACAAACGAGCTGTTTTTTTTTTTTTTTACAAAGATTGTATAACTAGATACCACATCTTGAGATGAAAGCAAGACTTGGGGTATCCTTATAACCATTTCGGGAAGCAAACCCTGAAAAGATGACTTAAAATTTATTTTTTGCAGTATAATAGTCTAGAATAAAGATGAGTGAAGGGAAGAGGAAGGACCCACACACAGTGAGAGCCTCTCAAAGGTGAATGCGTCCTTTAAAAAGAGCTTCCTTTTCCCATGAGATCCTTGTCTCTATCTTGAAACTACCTTTAGAGTAGCGCCGTCCAACAGGGAGATAATACAGCTCACATATGTCATTTTAAATATTCTAGTAACCTCACTTTAAAAACTAAAAAGAAACAGGTAAAATTAATTTTAATACTATATTTCATTTAATGCAAAATATCCAATGTATTGTGAAAATATATAATCGATAGTAAAATTATTAATGAAAAATTTCACTCTTTTTTCGATACTAACTTTCCGGAATTCAATGTGTATTTCACTCCGGCCCCATTTCAAGAGCCACGTGTGGTTAGAGGTTACCATATAGGAGAGTGCAACTCCAGAGCACGCCTCTGTCTTCTGATCCACCATGAATCCTCAGGCTTTGCTATTTATTAGGTATCTCCTGCATGCACTGAGCAGGGGTAAGGCTGTGGATCATCTCTTTTCTCTAGAGGAGATCCTGCACATGCCCCGCCAAAGCGCCCGGGTATTCACCTTTTCCCCCAAGATGTGTCAGAGCCCCTCCTCTCCGAGAGCAGTGCCAACCACACTGTTCTCAAGTCTACTGTCTGGAATCTTTGGGGCATCCTTCTACACCAGGCAGCTAGAAAGGTCCCAACACACACCAGCCCCTCAGAGCTGTCGCTGATGCAAATACAGGTGGAGAGGAGGAGGGGCGAAGGGCCCAGGGCTGTGGCTTTCCCCAGGAGCCAGAGACAGAGAGTGGTCCTTCCCCAGCCAAGGTCACCGGCCAGGCCTTGGCCAGTGGGAATGGCTGGCCTGGACGGTGGTAGAAGAACCCCTGGAGAAGCATCCACTTACTTTTCATGTGGGTGGTGACAGACAGAAACAAATTTTCCACAGACTTATTAAATCCTTTAAACTGACCAAGTTCCTGGAACTAAAAGAGAGACAGAAGGAGAGAGAATGAGAGTTATGTCTGATGACCTGTCTCCCCTGGCAGCCTCCAGGCCGCCAACCCCCAAACCCAGGCACGTGTGGGCGAGGGTGGGTGTGCGTTCTCGGGTTGTGTGCGGACGTGCGTGTGTGTCTGGGGCAGAGGGCACTGTCCTCTCTTTACTCAGCTTCTCTCCTCTGAGTTTTGACACCTGCATTAAAGGCAGGGGCATCACCGTGGGGTTGTTGACAAGACAGCAACTACCTCATAGAAATAACAGCTGACACTTCATGGGCTCGAAGACTGTACCACGTAAATTCCTGCTTCTTTAGCCTCCTCCTCTTAGGACCCCACCCCAGCTCTGCACAGAAGGGACGCCAATACAGGCAGTATGCACGTGACACAAGGGCTGAGGGTGGTACCAGGGACAAGGTAAGCAGACTGGAGCCAATGGTTAGCTCCACCTCCCACAACAGAAGAGAGAAGCAAAAGGAAGAGAAACAACATAAATGGGATCCCTCCCCTGTACGAGTCTCATCCACCCACCCACCCACCCACCCATCCACCCACCCACCCACCCATCCACCCACCCACCCACCCACCCACCCATCCATCCATCCACCCATCCATCCACCCACCCCAGGAATATGTCTTGAGCACATCTGTGCTTGAGTAACTTCAGAGCACTTAAAATCTCTCTCTAGGAGAAAGTAGAGCAGAATTTTGAAGGTCACTCCGGGGTCTCAGTTTGAATTTGAAAAAAGAATATATATTCTCTCTCTCTCACCAGCAGACAGGTATATCCTCCTTTGTTCAGATATAGTTACTCCCCTTAATACACAGAGTAATAACAATGAAAATAATCAAGACCATGTGTTTCTATGGCACTTTACAGTTTCCAAGTACCAGCAGAGACGTTATTTTGTTAATTTCTCACACCACCCACGGGGGGTGAACCAGACGAGAAGAATTATTTCCACCTCCCAGGTGGAAGCCCAGGTAAGTCCCCCATGATCACACAGCTAACTTCCTTGGACGGAAACAGTCCTGGTCTTCTTTATGTTAGCGCCTACAAACCCTCAAAGACACACACGCACATTTCCACAGATACTCCCAGGCCTGCGAATCACACACCTGTGCATCAACCTGTATTTCCCTTTCTGCCCCCAGAGACCCCTGACCCGTGGCAGCCCATCCAGAACCCCACGCTCAAGGGCACAGTTAGGGGAGAGGACCAACAAAATGACAAGAGTAAAAAGATGGGGATGCAGGGTGCAGGCGAGGACATGGGGTACAGGCAGCACATGCGTCCACTGACAGTGCGGGGGACGGGGGGATGGTCCCATGGCCCCCAGAGCGTGATGGAAGCGCAGACACCAGGCAGGGCCCAGCACTCCCCAGCCTCCGATCGGGGCCCCCATTCTCTCGCCTTATGACCCACTCCAGCCATGGCTGGATCCCTTTGCCGTGAGGCTCAAGCTTGCAGGTTCCCCCTCTCCTCCTCTACTTCTCTCGCATTTCCCCTTCCCAGGAGGCACACAGAACAGGCACGTTACCCTGCCAGGGCCGCCGCCGCACTGGCTTTCACTGAGAGGGGGTGGAGAAGAAGGAACCACGGAAATTTTGCTGCCGAGGAAAAATACAAGGGTAAGAAAGGAGATGTGAGTCTTAAAATACTAGTCTTAGAAATACACAACATTTGTATTTATCCTATAATTCAAGTTCTCTGCCTTTTTTTTTTTTAAACACTGCCTCACTTTTCAGAAGAGGGGTCAGCAGCCTGCCTGGATCTGCTCTGCACAGGGCCTGATTCCCTGGGGGCTGGAATGTGGGAAATGGGCATCATGTGGTCTAAGGTCTGGGCGTTGCACTCCATCTGTGTGTTGCAAAATAGCTGGGGTGCTCGGGACCGGCTCTGTGGCCTGTGGCTGCTCTGGAATCCGGGCTCCACACGTGTGTGCCGTGTGGACTTGAGCGTCCTCTCAGTGGACACCATGCAGCAGAATGCCCCAAATGTCACGGATGTAAAAACTGACCATAAGAGCAATTAGAAGTTTGTGCTAGAAGTTTGTGCTAAAAGAGGGGGGGGGGGGGGGGGGGGGATGGAGTAAAAAAATGAAAAAGTCCTGAGATTGGAAAATCTCACCATGAGCAAGAAAAAAGCTGCTGGTGGAGAGCTTCCAGTAATACTTTAATAAATTCAGCACAGTCAGGTGTGTGAATTACTGCTATAGCTTCAGGATGGCTGGGCGTTCAGTAAAGTTACTGTGTCTCAGGCCAATATTCAAATCCACCAATGTTTATTCCACAAATGTCTCCAAGGTGTCAAGCACTGGGCAAGATGTTGGCAACATGAATGATTCATAAAGGCAAATGCTTGGTTTAGAATCTCACTGGACGTGTCATCAAAAACGATATTTAGTTTGCTTACAAGATTTCAGAATTCAAGAAACAAAATGTTTTGTGAGAAAATCCTACGCTAGCTCCTTCTAGCTTTTCATAAGAATCTGGAAACATCTCTGAATCTTTCTCAGGCACTTTATCATCTTTTTAAAAAAAGTTACATTCCAAAGCAGTGACATGTGAAAGTCAAGAGATCTGTAAGTTCTTTCAGCACGTCCTTAGTGCTCTAGCCCGAGGGCCCAGGACGGCCTGTCCTTTGACAACACTCACCTCAGCTTCTGATAAGATTTCAAGAGCTTTGCTCCAGCTGTCTCGTGCTTGCCTGGAAGAGATAACAATAAAGGTCATTTATTACTAAGAATATAACTTAGATGATGCAGATACAGGACGCAATAAGTTAAAATTATTTTTCTAATATCACATCTTGTGATTAAAAAGTAAGACACCATTTTGGGGTGACAGAGATGCTCTAAAATCAGACTGTAGTGATGCATAACTCCATACTCCATAACTTTCATCAAAAATCATGAAATTGTACATTCAAATAGGTGAATTTTGTGTTATATAAATTATGTTCCACTAAAGCTGCTGTTATATACACACACACACACACACACACACAGAGTAAGAGACCATACTTGCTGGAAATGACCGCTTTTATTGAAAGTTGATGCTGGATTAGATTTTTAAATTCTGGATAATTTGAAAACCAGTTCATGCTTCTAAGCTTCCATTTGTCCTTCGGAAACATTTCATAACGGAATGACTACATTCCTTTAAACATTCTTTGTTATGGAGATTAATTCAATCTTTTAAAAAATGTAATCTACTTATTTCTAGTTATAGAGGCTAATAAGTTCCTAAATAAGACTCCATCTGATAATAGTACTCTTTTTGTTTCAAGGAAAGGGGATTTTATGATGTATTAAGACCCCCAAAATAGAATTCTCCAAGTCCGCAGTTCTGTGAACACAATGTTTCCTGGCCCAATGCAAGGGGAGAGGTCAGCCCACTGCCACCCCGACCCCAGCTGGAGGCCAGAAGTGGATTCTGCTGCTCTGGGAAGTTCCCTAGAGGCTCCACAATGCCCAACACAGCTGAGGACCGCCAGACCTGCCATCCTAGGAGGTCAGTGGAGCTCCCGTCTTGTGTGTTCGGAAGGCTTTAATCCATCCCAAAGAAAGACAGGTATTCATGTCTTCTCCATAAGATAGGAGGAAGGGCGGGGATAATAAGACAATCAGGAATTACAGGGAGGCCTTTGGGAGGAGGGCATATGGCTCTGATATCAAGTGGAAAACCTTAAAGCTGGGGACAGCTAACCCCTCAGCTGACCTTGAGCTGACCGCCACCCCGTCAGGGGTCCTAAATTAGGGGGCTCAGGGAGCACATCGGCCCTGAAATCCTATCTCAGATTTTGAGTCCACCTGCCCGTGTGCATTTTTCTGGGGTTCACAATGGTGGTCACCAAATTCTAACAGGAGTCTCTGAGCCATGTCCCTGCCCCACCACAAAATAATTCTTTAAGAACAAAAAAGGCCTCACCCAAAGGCTGAGTGCTCAGCTAGCAGAACCAGCTAGTAATGGGTGAAATCCCATATCTGCGGGACCCACAGGAAAGAAGAGAGCCAGGCCAGAAGCAAAAAGACAGCCACCCTAAGTGCACTGGAGTTTCGAAAGCAGAGAAAAACAAGGCAAAGAGAAAGGAGAGAGAGAGAGACGCCGTTCGTCCAGCCTGTCCTGGGTGAAAATGCAGAATCCAGGGGACGGGGCACTGGCCAGCGGTGGGCTGTGTCACAGCTCAGGTGCTGCCGGCCCCTCCCCACTGCCCTGCCACCTCAGCCCCTCGTCCTCTCGACCCTGGACTGTTGTGGTCGCTTCCCAGAGGCACAGCCACCAGCTACAGCCCCTCCCTCCAAGCTGATGCTCTCTCCTCCGCTTACAGTCCCCCAGTGGCTCCCTACTGCCTTCGCGGAGGTCCCAGCCCCACTGGCATCCCTGGGCCTCCAGCCCGTTCTCCACTTACCCCGCCCCACCTCCCCAGGCTAATTGCCCTTCTACCTCAGGCCCGTACCTCCCTCCTAAACCCCAGCTTAGGCCCTGTCGCATTTCTAAATAGCCGTCCTGAGCCCCAGGAGGCCCGGCCCACGCGCAGGTCTCTGCTGCCCCCTGCTGGCTGCACCGGGCCGCACCGCCAGATGGCAAACATTCTAGGCTCTATACCTTCTCTGTCCCATGCCCTCAACGTTGCACTTGGGACAGCAGCCACAGACAATGTTAAAGAGTGGGGGCGTGTCTGTGTTCTGATAGTGGACATAGAAATTTGAATTTCCTGTGTTTTGTGTGTCACAAATATTATTCTTTTGACCATTAAAAAATGTAAAACCCGTTCTTAGCTCATGGAAAGTACGAAAACAGGCAGAAGGATAGGTTTGGGCCGTGGGACCTAGTTTGCCCCACGTCCTTGCTGCTCCACGTGTGGATGGCAGCCCTCGGCAGGGCACCGGCGGGGAGCTTGTGAGCAATGCAGAGTCCCAGGCCAACCCTAGCCCTGCAGGGTGGGCCTCTGCTCGCGGAAGGTTGAGGAGTGCCACCCTGTGGCTCTGTCCCTGTTTATTGCCATTTTGATTTTTTTCCCCCTTCTGTTCCTCAGCCATTTCTTACCAGAGGCTTCCTTAAAAAGCACTAAATATTTACTTAACATTTTTTTTTAATGCATGTAACTACTATGAGGAAATGCTCGTGGAAAGACGCCCCCCCTTCCCCCAAGGTCTCCTGACAGGCAGGCTGGGGCCCTGCTCTGGCTGCCTCGTTAGGCCTCACAGGGAGCAGCTGTGGGTCAGGGCCCCCAGGATCCTAGGCTTTGGGGCACGTTCAGGGAGGCGCAGTGGCATTTATTAGAAGCTAACTGTCCGCCAGGGGCTGTGCGGGGCACTCTGCATGCATTTGCTCCGTGGTTCGTCACCAGGTGTCATCCCAATTCTGTAAGTGAAAACCGAGGCTCGCAGGTATTGTGCAACGGGTCCTGGGCTCAGCTCTCCCTGCTGCCACCCACCCTCCGGAGCACACACGACGTCCTGTCCTCTGCTAGCAACTCACAGCCCAAGTGGCTACAAAAGAAACTTTGACCGGCATAAGAAAGCTGCTTAGGGTTGAGCTGTGTCCTCTATGAAAAGATATGTTGAAGCCCTACCCACAGGCAACTGTGAATGTGACCTTATTTCGAGACAGAGCCTTTGCAGATCAAGTGCAGGTGAGGACATTAGGGCAGGTCCTGAGCCAATAGGACTGGTGTCCTTGTAAAAAGGGAAAATTTGGACACAGAGGCAGACAGGCACAGAGGAAAGGTAAGGAGGCGATGGCGGTGTCACGACAGAGACAGAGACTGGAGTGGTGTCCACAAGCCAAGGAACACCAAGGGTCGCTGGGAACCGACAGGAGCTGGAAGAGGCAGCGAGAGATTCTCCCCGAGGGCCCGCAGAGGAAGCATGGTCCCTCTGACAACTTGACTTTGGACTTCCAGCCTCCAGAACTGTGAGACAATACGTCTCTGCTGTTCAAAGCCACCCAGTTTGCACTTTGTTACAGCAGCCGGGGAAAACTACTACAGAGGTCCCCGTGTGATTCGGTCCCTACCGACCTGCCCAGTGCCACCTGCTGCCACCCCCGTCCCATTTGCAGGTCCAGCTGAAGCTGCACTTTCCTGATGCCCCACACCCACGAGACTGCACCTCTTCCACACCACTTGCTCTGTCCTTCTAGTGGTTTATTCTCCAGATTCTGGGCCTGTCCTCACCAGGCTGGCCTCCTCATGGGTGCCACGCACACTTGCTTTGAAATTCCTCTGACCGCACTGCAATCACTGGCATATGTCTGTCTCCCCCACTAGATGGTGACAACTTTGAGGACACGGGCCTTGTCGTATGTATCTCAGTGTCCCCAGCACCCAGCAGAGGGCTTGCCATGCAGAGGTGGTTACAATAAATGACAACAATAGAAACCAACGCTATTTTAACAATAAGCGTGACATCATTTAATAAGCCGTACCAAATATGTATGAAACAAGGTCATCATTTTTTCACCACTTGGCCTAATTTCATCCATTTGTTCACATTAATTGCATGTAATACACATGGGCTCTTTACAGAGTTAAGGATAACGGGACACAACCTCTGCTCATAAGCAGGAGCTTATGATGCTGTAAGCAACCCCATGAACCGCAGGACGGAGCAGAGGCTTCTCGATCAAAAACCAACCTGCAACTGCCACAAGCACATCCGTGGCATCATTATACATCTAAGTATTACTGTACATACTGTATCTACTTCTCCATCTAAAAACAGTAGGGATAAGGCAACATACTTCAGGTGTTCATAAAAAGTCCTCTAGAATGGATGCCCATCTTGAGCCAGGCTCCAGTGTGACACTGGCCGAGAACTCCAGTTGCCTACCAGCCAGCACCCTGGGCCTCAGGTCCTGCCACAGATGCCATGCCCTGTCACCCCGACACTTCTCTCTGGGGTGACGTGGTTCCCAGGAAAGAGGGCACAGGGCAGACTCCCTGGAATGCTCCAGTGCAACTCTGTCAACCAGCCACATCACGTGGTCATAGGTGACTGCGGGATCTCACATCCTGAAGCGTGGGATCTGTGTAGCTTAGTCTTTTTCCAAGACATGGTCGTTAACTTCCCCTCCTACACTGTAAGGCCCCACAGAAGCCCTTCACCACGTAAAGTCACGGACACCCAGAGAGCCATGTCAGACAGCTGTGGAGCAAACAGACAGGGCCAACAAACGGAAGGGTGGCCTGGCCCAGAGCCGCCTCTCTGCTGGGGCCCATGGAGCGGGAGAGAAGCATCCTTCATAAGAAACCATACCGTGCAGTTCCAGGTGTGACCCAAAGCAAAGCGCAGGTAGGTCTACCCACACAGAGCCTCCCTGGGAACTATACAAATACACTCCTTCATCAAAGATGCTTTGTCCACCCCTAAGAGTTGGTTGTAATATATGGGTTTTGTTAGAACAACACATTTTGCTGCATCTTCCAGGAACAATCATCACAGCAAACACACAAACCTAGGATGTCTATGATGCGAACAGTAGCCCCTCAGATGTGGCTCCCTTGTACAGTGCCCAACCTGTCCAACTGTATACGACAGTCCTGAGGGTTGGCCCACACTGGAGCTTAAGTACCCTCCAAATGCTAGAAAAAGGTGACTAAAACCAGAGGTTCGGTGTGTGTGTTGGCGGAGGGGGGGGCGGTATTGGACAATTATCTGTTTCAGGACTTTTTTCTTTCATAGGAAAGAAAAGGTCTCTAGG